ACAACTCTTTCGTACACTACCCGTAATAATTTCGGATGTGAATTGGACCTTCGACTTGGCGAATCTTGTAGATCGTTTTTTTTTTTCTCATTTCCGCTGCTGCCACGACAGAGATTATTGGACACAGTTCACATGCTGAGAATGTTTAAATACCGTTATGATCATTAATGGAGAAGCAAATCATTTGCAGGAAAACAGTGAAAAAGGGAGAATGGTGCGAAATTGTTTGTGCGGTGTGTTCTCAGCAATACCGTGCCTCGTAAAATTGGTCCTGTACGTTGGCTGTGCTAGTCGTTGATTTCATTTTGTATCATACTAAGTAGTACTTTTTCTAATGCGGTTAAAAAAGCGACGTTTTCATGCAGTTTAGCTCGAGCTACGCTCACTGTCAGAGCCCGGTACTACTGAAGGCTTCTGATATGAGCACAGCTCGGAGACCTAAGGAAAACCATAGATGTCGCAGAAAGATTGTGACACAGAATTTCCACCAAAGGAACAACAGTGAGAAGGAAAATGCGGATCCGGACCTCCTCACTTAAGGCGCAGCATCTCTAAAAGTGGCTCACCGTACTCCTGCTTCGGGGAGCACTGTTTTAATTAAATGATAACTGACTGAAGCATTAGAGCCGAATAACATATAGGCTAAGTTCGAATCAGCACGAGGCTGCACTGATTATTCTGATAGCAGTCCCGGCAGCCTGCGTAGGAGGGGAACAGCGAGAGGGAGGAAAGTGAGGACTGAGGAAGGTTAGTAGCAACGGGAGTGGAAAAATCTGCTCGATGAGTAGTATGTAATAAGATTGGGAAGAGAATGTTTGTGCGCGTTTTCAACAAGGAATTTTTTGCTGTGACTGTTCGATGTGCACTCTGGATTAAATTGAGTGCACTCAGGTCCGATGAAAACTCACTTGAGTTCTACGTGAACTCTGTGAGAGGCAGCTGTGGATTCGCTGATTTTTGTATTAATTATTAGGCATAATTATGTGTGTCTTTTGAGTGAGCGGTGCTCTCCCCAAGGCCACCCTTTTCCCTCACTTCTCCCTCCCTGACCACTTGTCTACAGTCGTTAATATTTGATCACCCGCTGCTTCTAAATTTTTATTACTCGGTTGAATGACGTAGTTGTGCTGGCACTCTGAGTGGCTAGCAGCAGTCGTTTTGAGCATCAAGCGACTGCTCGCCCATTCAGCCGCAGTCATTTCTCGCCTCAAATCACTTTGTTCTTATGGGGATGCATTGCTTCATAATGAATACTCGGCGTAAATAAGAAAAGTTGATGACTGAAATAATGCAGAAACGTCGTCACGCACTTTGTTGTGAGAGTTTGGAGGAAGAATCCGGTGATTCAGAAACATAGGCTTTTCTCCCAAACGTAGACTTTTCTC